AAGTATAAACACCCACCATTTCTAGCCTCTTTCTGAACACTTCAACCAGCTCTTACACGACTGTCACTGTGCCATTTATGTGTTATCTTATTCAAATGAATTTACAGAGCTTTAGTGTTGAAAGAGCCCTTAAAGACACCTTGTCTCATACCCTCAATTTATAGAAGGGGAAACTGAGGCCCAGAGAGAACAAGAAACCTCAATATAGTCCTTGTTAACAACCTTGGCCACCTGGAAATACACCTGTTTTAGAAACAGAATTAATTTCTTTATCTTTTGCAAGAGCTACACTTGTCTCCATTTAAAAATTATGCACCTGGGTAGGCCTTTAATTTAAAACTACCAACATTAATCAAAAAGCATTCATTGTCTAAAAATGTCAGTTAGAGGTTTCAGAATTCAAAGAGTTTGAACATTCTTCTCCTTCAGGTAAATAGATAGAAATATAATCTGGCCAGGATGCAAATATTATCATTAGCCCTGACGCTAACAATATAACCCAATAATATCACCCACCCCCTGTGACAGTGGCTGACCACAAGAAATGAATATATGAAGAATGTTCTTCATTTGCATGAAACCACTTTCAGATGCATGGTCTCTTGTATTGTGATGGATCTCAAATAAGGAGATATTCTGACCAGGACGAGGCAACCAGGGTGGAGACTCTGTCTCTGATGATTTAGGTGTCAGTCTTAGAGATTTAGCTTATGTGGGTTATATGTGCTGATACCATGGTAAATATTAAAACAGGGAAATGTTAAACATATTTCTCAGTTCATTGGACATAACCATAATAAACCCATTCTATGTTAATAAAAATAACACATATTTTGAAAACCTTCTATATTTTTCAATATTCCATTTAGTGGAAAAAGTGGCACTATCTATATATTTTTGCAAATAATTTGAATGTCCAGCTTCAAAGAAGAAAGCAGGATTCTCCTCTCTGCTTCTGACTTCAGTCTGTTGTGAATTTGTTTGGTTGAGGTATATGAAGAAATTCTGGCCTCACACAGATATTTGAAAAGGGAGGAATATTTTAATAACCTGGAATAGATAACTGTGGATACTTTTCTTTGATTTTATACCAAAATTTGACACATTGTAATGTCTTAACAGTTATTTGCAACGTGGAATCTGATACTATGTCAATGAACTTTCCCTACACCATTCCATTAAAATCCACAGTCTCTCTTGCACTCTAGATGACTCTTTCACCTGCACTTGATTTTAGAACATGATATGTTGATCATTAGGAAGCCATTGGCTCATTGAGTTATGCAGGCATTTCCAATGCGGACATATTTCAGCCTATAAAATTAAAAAAAACACTATTGCTATTATCATAAAAATCTTCACATTATGAAGCTTTCACGCTCCTATTGGCAGACCTAAGTTTTCTAAAATTCAGATTTTTGCTTGAAAGCTTACATTTATCATTGGGAACAGATACTGTGCATTGACTGATTTTCTTGAAGTGAAAGACTCACTTTGTTCATCCTCAAAGAACCATGTATCAAATAACCTGATGTGAATCATCACAATTTGTTGGTTGTTCTTTCAAATAAAATTGTGGTCTGTTTAAAAAAAAAAAAAGAAAGAGGCCTTTTCAGCTGGAAACTCAAGCAATCACACAGTACTTTTCTTTGGAATAAACCTTTTGCCTTGATATACAGCAGCAGCTTGGTACTTACTTTCCATCCACTCACAAGGCGTATTTAAAAGATGGACACTCGAGTGTTGCAATTTAAAATAATTAATATTTTTACTCCTTCATCAGTTTTCAAGCAATTGCAGTAATTGGGTAAATTCACCAATTATTTCATTTTTAAATGAAACTAGTTTTCTCTTTCTTTCTTTTTTGTTTTTCTGCAAGTGCGTGGTGGTGAAGAATACAATGGGGAGTTTGGTACCATTGCCTTCATTTGTGCTGAGGCATCGTCAATTTCACCCACCAGTGTTGTTGTTTTGCACCATCAGTGTGAATGTCAGACAGCAAAATAGGCAAACAATGCCTTAGCGTTCTTATGAAAGAGTTTGGACTTGTGGGCTCTCTTACAGGGCTGTGGAACCCATACTTTGAAAATTGCTGCCAGAGAGAGATTTTTAATATATACATGGATGTTTATTACCACAGCATTTTTGGTAATGAAAAACTGGAACCAACCTAGGAGATCATCACTAGAAGAATAGATAAATGGAGTTTTGCCAATTCATATAGTAAAATGCTCTATAGCAATGAAAATGAATGGACTAGAACTGTAGGTCTTAACACACATATCCTCCCCCAAAATGAAACAAAAGATAAATTGAAAAAATAAGTTATGGGATGGTGCTTACTGTGAACCATTATTTAAAAGTCCAATCCAAAACCATAAAAACGACACATTGTTATGAATATAAAGCCGTATCTCTATACACAGATCCATATTGTGAAGGTTTAAAAACATGCATTGGAATGCTAAATATAATTTAGGGTAAGAGTTAGTTCTGAGGGAAAAGTGAGATGAGGGAAAGCTACACAGGAAGTTTCAGTTTTATCTGTAACAATTTACATCTCAACACTTTTGACGCAAATAGGGTAAAAGTATTAAGGTTTGATGGAACTTGGTGATGGGCGTCATTATGTCATTCTGTATGCTTAAAGTGTTTTGCTATCAAGTTTTCTTTTAAATAGGAAGACTATATAACAAGAAAAGGTTTTATTAAATATGTTTCATTTTTAAAGAGAGACTTTCCCTTTTTATTATAATTGGTAAGGATCTTAGTGCCAAGTTAAATACCCAATGTTAGTTCCTGAAGTTGTCTTTTTTGATAACTTTTTGTTTTAATATAAAACTTGTAAGATTTAAGGAAAATACAAAGAATTCCAAAATACCGTGTATGAAAATTCACCAATTATTTATACTTTGTGCCCATCTGCTTTACCCAAGTCACCCTGCGTGCACACTTTCTCTCTCCCTCCCCTCTCCCACACTTTTGTTTGCTGCTGGTTCTAACCATACATTGAGGACTTATCTCTTTCTTTTCTTTTCTTTTCTTTTTTTCCAGACAGAGTCTCACTGTGTTGCCCAGGCTGGAGTGCACTGGTGCAATCTGGGCTCACTGCAACCTCCACTTCCCGGGTTCAAGTGATTCTTCTGTCTCAGCCTCCCGAGTAGCTGGGATTACAGGTGCGTGCCACCACGCCTGGCTAATTTTTGTATTTTTGGTAGAGACGGGTTTCACCATATTGGCCAGGCTGATCTCAAACTCCTGACCTCAGGTGATCCACCTGCCTCGGCCTCCCAAAGTGCTGGGATTACGGATGTGAGCTGCTATGCCTGGCTGACTTATGTCTTTCTATTTCAACAGTCTTGTACATGTATTTTTTGGAGGAAGGGAAAGGATTGTTGAGATATAAATTATAAATAAGTAATTACCACTGTAATCCATTATGTAAATATAAAGCATATGTTTATTATTTTATTAATTAAGGTAAATAATGTCTTAGAAATCAGGAACAAAAAACAAAAGAAAAACCCACTTAAACCCCATTGCCAACTAACATTTGGTGTTATTTTACACGTGTACTAAATTCATCCGTGCTCATCCTGAATAAAGAAGTTCTACTTCTTACTTTTGTTAATTGACAGTAGTGTTTTATGGTTTTAAATATCTCCCTACCATTTCGAATAATAAATCAGAATTCTTTTGGTTATTTCTCCTAGAGTTAGAGAAGATAAGTGGTAATCATGAATTAAGATGTAGAGGATAAGAAATTACATTTACCAAAACTAAATGCAGAAGTTCTTTTTTGTCATTTGTGATTCTCTATTTGTGCAACTCCAGGCAGTGCCTATGTGATTCTGATAAGTATATTCTCTACTATTAACATCATTTTAAGGTCAGTATTGTTAACAGTATCCAACAAGAAAAAGATGATCTTACTAAGCAAACAAAAGTGAGGTTTGGAAGTCAGCTTCTTAATATATAAAATCAGTCTCTACACTTGACTTAGAGACAGAATTGCAGTTTGGAGTTCTTTAGTGCCCTGCCAATGTTTGGTTTGCAGAAAAGAAAATAGTAACTACATGTGGCCTTAGAATCTTGAGGGACTGCCAGGGAGTTGCAGATGATGCTTTTATGTCTAATTAGAATATGAGCAGCCTGCAAACATCAAAATTCAACTGTACAGCACCAGCTTGGAGGTTTGTCCACCTCATTTTCTTCTTAATGGAATGAAAATATATTGGACTTAATATTTTACATTGCAGCAGTCATGCACCCACCACTGTGGGATTGTGCCATATCCTCGTGCCACGCTGGGATTATTTACTTGGTATTGTTCTCTTGATCAATTCACTTTATCATAAAGTAATTTTTTAAAAAAGAACTTGCATTTTTGTTGATGAAGTTAATGTGGCTAAAACCAGCTTCACTTGTAATAGATGGCAACTGTATAAATATATAATGCAAACAAAACAATGCTTTAAATTTCATATATTCTTTTACCTGACAAATATCTGAGCCCAAGATCTGAGTCTAAGTCACTCTCTTTCTCTCTGTGTACATGTCTGCACATTTGTTAAAAGGAATATTTGTGGACAGAGAGGCATTAAAGGTCTATTAGCATCTAATCATCAATAATCTCAGGAAGACTGAGAGATAAATGGAAACGGGAAAACTTTCTCAACAACTGTTTGCATGTCTACTACAGGACAAACATTGGCACATAGCAGTGATCTTTAATACTATGTCTGGAGAGCTCCTAAAATTATCTCAAGAACCACGTAAAATCATTGGGTGGCATCTGCCCCCATGGTTAGAGATGACTCTAGAGCTATTAAAAGGACAGGCGCTTGCATTTTCCAAACTTAGGTGACTGTTGTGGGGATGAGGAGAGAATGCAGGCAAAGTGTCAGCCCAGGGCCTCTATATGAAGTAAGGGTGTGATCAATCCTGGCTGTGAGCATCACTGCCATCCTTTTTGTCATCATTGTTGCTATCATTTCCAGGGAAAGAGCTACCAGACTCTACGGCGATCCAAGAGAAGATGGGTTATCACCACCGTCGAGCTGGAGGTAGAAGACCCAGGACCCTTTCCCAAACTCATTGGTGAGGTAAGGTGCCTACTCGTAGGGAATGACCCCATCACGCCCTCTGAGTCAGCTTACCCATTTGGCCAGGAAGACTGTCTTGAAAGGCTGTGTGCTAGTGAGGCCAGGAAGTGAAGCAGAGCAGAAGGAGCACTGGCCTGGGGTTCAGGTTGCCTGGGTTCTAGAACTCACTCTACCTCTACCTGGGTATGTGACTTTGAGCAAGTCACTTCTCCCTGTGAGTGTCTGATGAGAATCACATACAGCAACAGGGTGGTTAATTCCAACTGACAGGTCTGCTTTATTTGGCCCACGCAGAGGCTTTTTAAAAATATATATATTATTTAAAAATAGAGAGACTGTATTAAAAATTTTACCCTCCTTGAGATTTTTAAAAAATTGGAAGTTCTGGCCACATGAAATCCACATTTCCACATGACAACAATTAGGTGGGGCTTCAGTTACTCAGAATACCGCAGTCTCCACTATTCCCCATTGCCTCCCTCATGCTGAGGGCAAGCAGCCCCTTGAAGAAGTCACATATATTGGAATGGCAGAATCTTTTTTTTTTTTTTTTTTTTTTTTTTTTTGGGGGGGTTTTTTTTTTTTTTTTTTTTTTTTTTTTTTGAGACGGAGTTTCGCTCTTGTTACCCAGGCTGGAGTGCAATGGCGCGATCTCGGCTCACCGCAACCTCCGCCTCCTGGGTTCAGGCAATTCTCCTGTGGAATGGCAGAATCTTTACACCAGGCCCAGGTTGTTTATTCCCACTACCTTCCTGGTACCAATGGGCCTTTGAATTATGTACTGATTAAGGTCTGCTATAGTTGTGACATTCTATGATTCTTAGAAAAAATTAAAACTATCTTGTATTTTTGCAATATTTATGGAAATGATGGATGCCTACTGTGAAAAACAAACAAACGAACGAACAAAAAACACAAAGAGCACAGAAAGTTTTCAAGTCTCAGTGGCTAAAAGTGTATACTCCTAAGAGTCAGTGGGTTCATATACCTACTGCACCACATCCTTGCTGGGTTAGAGATTCTTCATGTGTCCTCATCTGCACAATGGGGTCAGTTATATTGTCTACATTTCAGAGATGTTTTAAAGATTAAATAGGTTAAGGCAAGCAAGGCATATTGTTGGTCTGCTCATTCTAAGCTCTTTCTAAATGTTAGCTGTGTGATCACTACTTCTCTTTCCTTCAAGGGATAATCAATATTAACAAATTGGTACGTATGGTTCCAGGTATTTCTCTATAGATTTTCTGATGTGAATCTGCATCAAAAAATGAGATTACACTTGGTGTGTTGTTCTGCTTGCCTCTCTTGTCCTGCCTGTCTTTCCGTGGCAGTGTAGATACATCTTTAAAGGCTACACAGTATCCCATGCTAAGTGTAGGGAGTATCATTCTATTATTTTTTTCATGTCAATGAACATCTATGCTATTTCCAAATTTTCACTATTACAGACCAAACTGCAGCCCACACCATCGTTCCTCCATCTCTGCCTATCTGTTTATTTCTTTTGTATAAATTCTCAGATGTGCCATTGCTGGGTATAATTTCTTAAAGATGCCATTGATTCTTAGCCTTGATACTTGATTATCATGGCGGCTTATTCTCATCCTCCTTTTTGCTTCTTTCCATTTTCCTTCTTCCAGCTGTTCAATAATATGTCTGATAACATGTCACTAATGTATCTAATCAGTGGACCCGGTGTGGATGAATATACAGAGATTGGTTTGTTTTCTCTAAAAGATCATGAGAAAGGAAGGATATATATTCACCGCCCTGTGGATCGAGAAACAACACCGTCTTTCACGGTATCTAAAATCTGGTATATTCTAAGCTTGGATTTAAGAGCTCTTGCAAGACTGTTGTATTTGGTGAGCATTATTTAAGCTGACTTTGTGCCAGGTACTGGGAGATTGAGAAATTATACATTGTGACGAGCTTTACAAGTAGGCATGAGACTTTTGTAATCTTTTAGAGTGGTGAACTTTGGCTTTGTAATGATTTCTGCAATCGATGTGAGCTGCTATAGGTCTTTATTCTAATGACTAGTGTCGTAGCATGATGAGGATATCTGAAAGCATTTGGGGATAGGGTCACAGAATGTTTAGAAAATGGGCTAATTTATTTTGTTATGAGTGACATCTGAAATACAGAGACAAGCCATGACAGACCCAATGGGTTGCCCAATAACTGATGAATGACCAAATGCATACCTGTTGACAATGTCTTATTGTGAGTGCAGGTATTCTTTATGATTTCATCGCTCCAATAGTGTGGTTTGCTATAAAGCTGAAATTCAGGTTCTAAACCAGAAAAGGAAATTACAAAGAAAAACGCCCTAAACCATGTATCGCGTTACCCATCTAACATAATAGGGAGTCTTTAGGTAGTCAAAATTTGTCCTATTTTGACTTCAGTGGAATGGAGCTGCTGGGAACTGGGCTTGGTTCTCAGGATTGCTTGGCTGTGCATTTGTTCATTAACTCTTTCAGGGTGGAAAGACGTTGATTAACATTCAAAAAAAGTACTATATGAACTTTTCTGTAATAACCTCAAAGTACTTATATAAGCAATAAAACATATACCCTCAACTTATCAATAGGCTCTGAATCTCTAATTTTTAAACACGTAAAAATTGTTCTAAAGCTCCAATGAACATGCAAAGATGACTCTCTAGGTCTTCCTTACCTATATAAATGCATGCCCCGCTTCTGTGCAGAATTTGCTGTGTCTGTTACAAAGAAGGAATATAGAGTAGTCATAAGGTGACCCTGAGATAGCCCTTCTCAATCTTTAATGAGCAAACAGATCAGTAGGGATCTTGGTAAAAATGCAGATTCTGTTTTAGTAGGTCAGGGCGGGGCCTTGCATTTCTAGCAAGCTCCAGGTGAGGCCCATGAGGCTGTCCCTTGGGCTTCCACACTTTGAGCAGGGAGGGCCTAGTGGTGATCATGGCATGATCTGTGCAAGGATGGAAACAAACATTTGGGGCTCACTCGTTGCTTGTTTGCTTTTAATAGTTTTCCCTTTCCTTTTATTATTGTTATTATTATTATAATTTAACTTTCATTTTAAGTTCGCCTACAGATTTGTTATATAGGTAAATTGTGTAATGGATGTTCGTTGTAGAGACTATTTCATTACCCAGGTATTAAGCCTAATACCCACTATTAGGTTTTCCTGATCCTCAGTTTTCCTGATCCTCTCCCTCTTCCCACCCTTCACCCTCTGACAGATTCCAGTGTCTATTGTTCCCTTCTGTGTGTCCATGTGTTCTCATCACTTAGCTCCTATTTATAAGTGAGAACAGGCAGTATTGGTTTTCTGTTCCTTTGTTAGCTTGCTAAGGATAATGGCCTCCAGCTCCATTCATGTTTCTGCAAAGGACATTATCTCATTCTTTTTTGTGGCTGCATAGTATTCCATGGTGTATACATACCATGTTTTCTTTATCCAGTCTACCACTGATAGGCATTTAGGTTGATTCCATGTCTTTGCTACTGTGCATCCTGCTGCAATGAACATACGTATACATATGTCTTCATGGTAGAATGATTTCTATTTCTTTGGGTATATACCCAGTAATGGAATTGCTGGGTTTGCATGATATTTCTATTTTTAGCTCTTTGAGGAATTACCACACGGTCTTTCACAATGGTTGAAATAATTTATACTCCCACCAACAGTGTATGCATGCTCCGTCTTTTTTCCTGCAACCTCACCAGCATCTGCTGTTTTTTGTCTTTTTGATAACAGCCATTCTGACTGGTGTGAAATGGTATCCCATTGTGGGTTTGATTTTCATTTCTCTAATAATTAGTGATGTTTTATTCATATGCTTGTTGGCCATAAGTATATCTGCTTTAGAAAAGTGTCTGTTCATGTTCTTCATGTGCACTTTTTAATGTTTTTTTTGTAAATTTAAGTTCCTTATAAATACTAGATATTAGATTTTTGTCAGATGCCAAGGAAACTATCAACAGAGTAAACAGACCACCTACAGAATGGGAGAACCGTTTTGCAAATGATGCTTTTAACATTTTAAATGATGTATTAAGGGCTGGCATTCATAATGTTTAATATGGGACTTTGTGTCTAGAAGCTGATAATGCTAAAGCCAAATATCTAAGAACATTTCCTGAAACTCAAAGTTGGGTTGGAAATGCTTGGCACATCACAGAGAGATCCTGGGCACCATTTAGAGCAAAGAGGGACAGCATGGGGTTGTGGGGAAACACATGGCATCCCCATTAGTTCTGTTAGGTCCAGTTTTCAGGGCCTTGTGCTTGGACCTCCCTGGCTTGGCTAAGTCCATGTTCTAGTCCCCCAAACATTGACCATAGTTGTCCTGTAATATTGACTTATCTACTTATTTGATCCTTGGCCCTCTCATTTAACTACAAACTTCTACAAAGAAAGATACAGGGTGGAGATTCTGAGGTGTGCCCCAACCTTGCCCGTCTCTCTCCGTCCCATTTCCCTGTTTTACTTTCTCCTCAACTGCGCTCATCTCTTGAAATGTGGACTTTGTGTTTAATTCCCTGTTGATAGTTGATCTCCTCCATTAGAATGTTGATCTCCTCTATTAGAATGTAAGTTCAAAGAGGTGAGAGACTCTGCCTTATTCTCGATTCTGGGGAAAGTCTGCCATTGTCCCAGGGTCACCATCAGGGCTCTTGACATAATAGGTTCTCCCTTAATCATATTAGATGAATGAGCAAATGAATGAACAAGCACAGCGAAATGTAGCCTCGGCCTTGCTGGATGTTGTGAGCTGAACTGAGTCCCCAAGAAGACATGTTCAAGTCCTAACTCATGGTACCTATGCCTATGACCTTATTTGGATGTAGGGCCTTTGGAGGTATACTCAAGTTAAAACGAAGTCATACTGGATTAGGGTGGGCTATCACCCTGTGACCAGAAGAGGAAATCGTTGACACAGAGACAGACATAGAGGAGAATGCCAGGTGAAGATGGAGGCAGAGAATAGAGTGATGCTGAGGAACAGTGAGTCTTGCTAGTGACCACCAGGAGCCAGGAGAGGCTGGGAATAGTCTCTCCCTCAGAGCCTCCAGAGGAACCGACCCTGCTGACTCCTCCATTTCCGCTCTAGCCTCAGGAACTGTGAGATAATACGTTTCTGGCATAAGCCACGGGGTCTGCGGTATTTTGTTACAGCAGCCACAGGAAACTGACAGCCAGGGGTTTACACACTAGTTAGGAGCACATGAAATGGTCCAATAAGAAGGATCACCAACCAGGAAGGGTGGCATAAGCCATGTCCTATAAATCAGGACATGTCCTAAACATGACACAAATTGAGCATCCTAGCTTAACCATCTACTCCTGTAAGAGAAGTTTACGATTGGCTTTGGAAGTCCATCAAGATAGTCCGTTATGAAAAATCAAGTAAGCCTAATGTAGTGGCAAAAAGACATTCTAGTAGCACTTCTTTACTCTTGAGCATCCTGATGGGGCATGGTTGTGGGGAGGCTAACTTTTTATTAACTCAATGTATCTACAAGAAAGCAGTAACACCAGTTGAGAATTACTGTCTGATTTAAGACAGAGGCAGCAAGACAAAAGCTGAATTTTTTCTGTGTATGGACCTTATCTATTTATATCCAAATATGTTCACTTTTATAGAATACAAAGCTACCCCAAAATCCATCCTTTTATATTTCTCAAAATAATTATTTGTTAATTTTTATCACCACACAGTCTAACCTATGCCTTAGTGATTTCTCACTGTGCATGTGGTACCAAAGGTGTTTCCATGTGCTCATTTGTGTGTAAGACCGTAGATCTTGTGCCTGTAATTTCAAATAGCCATATGGTGATGCATCACGTTAATGCACCATGGTTTGCTTATCCGAAGGTATAAATCTTGAGGCTATAACAAAAGCTGAAAACACTTTCCAAGTGCAAAAAATGTCCATGACATTTCTTTTCTCCATTGTAATTCTGAGTCCCTAGAAATTCTTAGCATCTTGCCAAAGAATAAACAGCACTCATGTTTCTCAGGCACCTTATGGAACTAAAGATCTCATATGTAGCTTTAGGATAATAAATGAAATATAAAGTAATAAATATAAAACAAACAAGTGGTTCCTTTTTAAAATGGAAAGAATACAGTTGGCACAGTGTTAGAGCCAGAAGTCAGGGTGATTAAGGAGCAAAGAGTTGCCAGCACAGTCATAAATTATGGAGGAGAATGTAGACATGGTGTGAGAGAAAGCCAATTTACGTGCACAAAAATATAAGATGTATGCTAGAGTCCCTGAAGCAGACTAGTTTGGTAGTAGAAGGCCTGAAGCCTCCTTCAATCCTACTGCGGGGGAGGAGGAGCGCTGACCTGTGCTAGACACGGGGCCTCTGCTGCTGTTTTAGGATACCTGGTGGGACCATGGTGATGGAAGCAGAGGAGTGAGCCATGAGTCTGCAGGAAAAGGTGCTCAAGCAGCCATGCAAAGCAAAACAGAGGGAAAGGCCTTTAGGCCCTGGAGGAAGGGGATGGAGAGAGTGTTGCCTAAAGCTTTCAAGGCCCTGAGAGCCCACCCCCCACCCCACACCCCCCTGGGGGGCCAGCAACCCTGGCCACTGAGTAGCCACAGAGAGAAGTGGGGAAGAATTGGCGGAAGGCGCAGTCTTGACCCCTGACTGGACTTGAATCTGGGCTACTCTATGTCCAAGCTGAAGGTGAAGTACCACTGAGCCTCTCCACGGTACAGAGCTAGACAGCAAGGGTGCCTTTCTCCAGGGCTTCGGCGAGGATGAAGGGAGGTCATCTATGTGTAGGGCTGGTGCT